CATCTTGTACCAGAACAACCTCTCTTATTTTAGGCTTCCCCTCTCTTAATTATTTCCTTTTTATAAGGAATATAAGGATATGGCCTTTTGTACATATTTGTTTGTTTATTTTCTCCCCTATTAGATTGCGAGCTCCTTGAGGGTAGATACTGTCCTTTGCCTCTTTTTTTGTGCCCCCAGTGCTCAGCACAGGGCCTGGCACATAGTAGGGGCTTAATAAATATTTATTGCCACCCCCACACCACAAAGAGGCAGAGCCAGTTACATTTTAAACAAGTGCTCCCAAGTAGGTGATGAGGCAAGCAGAAACCAGGGGAGAAACAGAGAATGGAAGTCACCACAGTACCATGGCCCAGGATGCAACTTCGGCCTCTGACAAAGAAAAGCTAGATCAAGAGATAGGATGCTTTCTCTAGTTCATATGCTAGGATGGGATTTAGTCCACAACATCCATGGCCTAGAAGCTAAGGATACTGACTCCTGTGTAGCTTCACAGATTATCTGCACACAATCCCCTAACTTTACCCCAAAAATCACCTTGAGGATGACAGTTGACAGAGGTCCTTTTCCCATAGTTCCCCATTTTCTCATTCTCTTAAAAGAGAGACCAGAGGGTGATGAGGTATCCTTAGAGTTAGTCCCTCTGCTGACTCTCGGCAATCATCTTAAGCCATTCTAAACAGAATGGTCTTAAGGACCTTCAAAGAAGGAGTTCCGTATTCTTTGTAATTTTCAAAAATCCTTAGTAACTTCTGAAAATACTGTTAGATGTGTAGAGCTACAAAGTTGTTATTATTATTAACATAGAATCTCAGAGCTGGAAGGCACCTGGAGGTCACCTAGTACACATTATACTGAGCAGAAATTCTGTCTTACAACATCCTTGGCAAGTAGTCATCGAGACTTGAAGTTCTTAAGTGACAGGAAACTCACTACCCCAGAAGGCAACCCATTTTCAGATAGCCCTAATTATTAAGGAGTCTTTCCTTAGGTCAAAACAAAATTGGCCTCTTTGCCTACTTCCATCTATTGCTCCTGGTTCCACCATAAGATGTTTCACTCTAGCTAATCTAAATCCCTGAACAAAGCTCAAGCTTGCTCCTCCTTATCATTTTCTCATTGGAACAGAAAACAACTGCTCTCTACCCTTCTTGAGACATTTTTTCATTAGCTAAAAACTGTTTTTGTTTCCCCACTCCACCCAGTCTGCCTCTCATTTCCAACCTAACAAGTCAGTTTTCTTATCCTTTCCTATAAAGGCTATCTTTCCCCAAATTTAACTATTTTGATTATTCTCCTCTAGACCTTCTCATGTTTTTCCATGCTTGGATCTGTAATCTATCCACTAGTACTGGTCTTTAAAATCCTTCCACGCCTTCCCATCCTATAAAATTCTTGCCCGCTTCCTTCTGTAAATCCTTTACAGAGGCAAGGCATTCAATACGCTAAACCAGAGGCATGAAACAAACACATGGCCAATGGCCACATGCAACCCCCAACATTCTTGAGTGTGGCCCAAACCAGATTAAAATATAATTGGGAAACATTTAACAAAGTAAATAAAAATACAATAAAGCATAGATAACATTACATTTTAAAACTAAATCATTATACTGCCTCAGGGATTCTTATGTATAGATTAGCAGCTCTGGTTTCTGTTTGACTTAGACATCACTGTGTTAGGTAACTTTGAATATTTTCATTGTATTGAGGGTAACACTATAACATAACACATTTAAAGGACAGTGCCACAAGTGGAATGCTTCAATGAAATCCTGACCAATGAGAGTTAACTCATGGTACCTATAGTCTATACACCTATTTATACATTGTACTATTCATTTTTTCAGTCAATAAGCATTTATTAAGTATCTACTATCTATCAGGGGAACTAGGTGATTCAGAGGATAGAGCGCCAGGCCTGGAGTCAGGAAGACTCATCTTCCTGAGTTCAAATCCAGCTTTAGACACTTAAAAGCTATGTGACCCCGGGCAAGTCACTTCACCCTATTTGCCTCACTTCCTTGTCTGTAAAATAAGCTGGAGAAGAAAATGGCAAATCATTCTAGTATCTTTGCCAAGAAAATGCCAAATGGGGTCACAAAGAGTCAGATACAACTGAAAAATGACTGAACTATGTATCAGACAGTGCAGGCACTAGAAATATAAATACAAAAGGGAGACAGTCCTTGCCCCCTAGGAAACTTACATTCTACTAGCACCACATTTATTTTTAAATTACAATACTACAGTGCCAACTCATATTTCCTGTAGTCTGGAGTCTTCTGTGGACCTTGAGACTTTTCTGCCAGTTTTGTACAAAAATTACAAGATTCCATTTGGTCTTTATTCAAGTAAGTAAGGAGATTACCTGAATCCCAGCTGGCTCTCAGATCACTAGAAGGACAGAAATGGAGGAAATACCAGGAATTAATTTTCCATGATGTATGGCCATTAAAATAAAATGTTTGTAAGTCATGCAGCAATTCAATCAATTTAGGAGTCAAAACTTGGGCAAGTCATTTAAATTTCCTGGGCTTGAGTTTCCTATTTAAAAAGTAAGAGGATTGGACTAGATGGTCTCTGAGACCCTTTTCAACTTAGATCTGAGATCTATCCAACTAAGATCCTATAATCCTTGATTTTACTAGAATTTGGCCCTGATCCTATTCTTTAGAGCAAGATTAAAGCAAAAATATCTACCATAAAAATTATTTTTAAATCCCAGATTTTTGCATTTATACAATCATAAGTCCAAGTTGGATAGGACCATAGATGCCACCTAGTCAAGCATGTGCTGGGGAATGGTTAACAGCTGTCTCTACAAAAAAATACAAAAAAAATACAAAAAACTGTATCCTGATATACTTTTAAATTTAACATGCATTATTAGCATTTTCTCTATTACTTTTTAAAATTCAGACAATCAACAAAACAATAAATCAAGCCCTGATTTATAGTTTTACTGATTCCCAAGGTATAAATGCTCACTCTGAAAATATGATCATTGGCTCTTGGGAGCCTATAAGAGCTGGATCCAGCACATTGCTGTATCGACTTCAACCTCTCATTTTACAGATGAAGAAACTGAGGCTTGGAGAGGTCAAGGAATTTGCCCAAGACCACATAGGTAAGTGGTAGATCTGGCATTTGAACTCAGGGCCTGTGATTCCAGATTCAGCCTCTGAAGTTCAACATCCTTTATCCTCCACTCCCCTACCCTCTTCCCTTCATGTATACCAATGATAATATAGTTCACAGTTGGTTCTGAAAAACAATGGACTTGCCAAGTGTCTCTTTTACTAAGAGCTTCTAGATAAATGTGAGCAAAACAGTCAGACAGCCCAGGAGCCCACGAGCCATGTCTTCTGCAGGCAGAGTCAAACAAGATGTCTCCTTCTCTCTCTGCACAGTCAAACTGTCCAGGATCAGAGTATACTGCTTTGGCTTATACTACACAGTTTCAAACATCCAGTGATTCTGAAAAGATGAATTCTAACCTTTAAAGTCCTTTAAATTTTTCAGTCTTAATTTTTTTGGAATTCTCATTACCAGAGGTGAAGAAGGAAGAAGAGGACGAGAAGGAGAAAGAGAGGAAGAGAAAGGGGAAGAGAGAGGGGGAAGGGAGAAGGAAAGAGGGAGGGAGGGAGAGAGGGAAGAAGAAAGAGAAGGAAGAAAGAAGAGGAAGAGGAGGAGGAGGAGGAAAAGGAGGGAGAGGGAAGAGGAGGATAAGGAATGGTGGAGAAGAAGGAGGAGGTGTTGGAGGAGGAGGAGGTGTTGGAGAAAGAAAGGAAGAGAAATGAGTGAGGTTTGTTTATGGAAACCAAAACTTCATAACAGATGGGAAAAATTTCACACCTAACTGAGTATCTTCTAAAACATGACCTCATGACCTGGTGACTAGAATGACACATTAGCAATTCACTCTCTTTCATGGACTGAGATGTCAAACCCTCACGTTATAGAAACAGACCTCAAAATATCTTGCAGATTCACACAATAAACTAAATTGGAACTGGAGCATTTTAATAGACAAAGTGTTGTCCAAAATTACATGATGTAACACCGATGCATAAAAAAATTTAAGAAAAATATTTTAATATGTGTCCACATATAAAATATAGCCTTCAAGCTGCACGGAAAGAAAAGACTTCAAAATACATAAACAGACCTCAAAGAAGAAATCAAAATCATGTGAGAACAGAACAAGGCACATATCATTCCCATCATCCTTTCTGCTACTAGAATTCTACTGAATATGCTCTCAGTGAGCCCACTGAAGATGCATTTGCATCCTAATATATTTTTCAACCACAAAAAGTCATTTTATCTACCAGTGCAATAGAAAGCAGAATAATAAATATTAAAAAAATAGCAGGATAGTGACTTGTCCCAGGACTATTTCTACTTCAACTCCACCAGATCAGAAGAGAACCATCTTTTATCATCATCATAATAATAGTTTACGTTTATCTAGTGCATTACAGTTTACAAAAATCTTTCCTACAATAACTCTGTGAAGGAGGCAGTGGAATTATGATCCCATTTTACAGATAAGGAACTGAAGCTCATAGGAGAGCTTATTTGACATACCCTAACAAGCCACAGTTGAGAACTGGAATTCCAAGTCCAATGTTCCTTCTACCTGACTATTCTGCATCCTCATTTCAGTCATATGTTGTATTCCGTTAGAAATTGTTCTCTCCCTAATTTCTCCATTTCGGCTGATCAAGAAACACCAAATATTGAGCACAAACAACAGTTGTAGTAAACATGGGGAAAATCTTCCTCTCCAAGTTATCCCACAGAACTGACAAATCCCTTCTCTCCCCACTCAGGACATCTTTCAGAGATGTGGCAGGAGAGAAGGCAGGGAGGTTGGGTGAGAAAAGTATCCATCATCAAAATGCAGCTTCCCAGCAGGGTCACTGAGCAGCTGACCTCACCTTGGGAGTTTCAAGTGCAGGTTGTGGACAAGGGCAAGGAGTCCAGGAACTCACCTCTACAATTCTGCACGTCTCTTCCAGCTGACTGATTATTCCTTGGACTCGGTCATTACTTCCCACGAGCACTGCAATGCCATCGCTGAGCTCGGACTGGGGAGAGAGACAACAGCGATTGATTCCAGTACACGGTCACTGACCCCCATTCCATGCTTTCTATTCAGGTGGGGCACAAAACAGAAGCCAGGCATGGAGATGTTAGATGCCCCACAAGCGCATCTCTATGGCTTGCTCTCGATCTCTCAGGGGAATAAGGAAAGTTTTCATACAAGTTCCCTGAAGATGAATAGCTTCTCCTCTCCTACATGCAGGTAGCAAGGTGACCTGGTGGAGAGAGCGCCAAGCCTGGAATCAGAAAGTTGTTGTTGTTGTTGCATTGTTCAGTCTCATCTGACTCTTGGTGACCACATTTTGTAGTTATGTTGGCAAAGATACTAGAGGGGTTCGCCATTTTCTTCTCCTTTTCATTTTTACAAATGAAGAGCTAAGGCAAACAGGGTTAAATGACTTGCCCGTGGTCACATAGCTTTTAAGTGTCGGAGGCCAGATTGGAGCTCATGAATGTGAGTCTTCTTGATTCTAAGTTCAGTGCTTTATCCACTTTATCATCTAACTGCCTCAGAGTTAGGGGGACCTGAGTTCAAATCTGCCTTCAGATACTTATTAGCTTTGTGACCTTTGGCAAGTCACTTAACTGTTGTTGACCTCAGTTTCTTCAACTATAAGGTAGAGATAACAGTACCTGTCTCCCAGAGTTGTTGTGAGGATCAAATGAAATAATGTTTGTGCAGTGCCTATCACATAGTAGGCACTTAATAAATAAATACTTTTTGGGGCAGCTAGGTGGTGCAGTGGATAGAGCACTGGCTCTGAAGTCAGAAGGACTTGAGTTCAAATCTGGCCTCAGACCAAACACCTGATGCTAGCTGTGTGACCCTGGGCAAGTCACTTAACCCCAATTGCCTTTTAAAAAAAAACAACAAAAAACAAAAGGGGCAGCTAGGTGTCACAGTGGATAGAGCACTGGCCCTGAAGTCTGGAGGACCTGAGTTCAAATCTGGACTCAGACACATAATACTTCCTAGCTGTGTGACTCTGGGCAAGTCACTTAACCCCAATTGCCTCACTTAAAAAAATAAATAAATAAATCCTTATTCCCTTTTCTGCTTTTACCCATAGCAAGCCAAATTAAGTCCAATCACCTGATTCAAGAATTGTCAGGTCTGTGGATATGCATGCTATTTGGGAGCGAAATTAAATAAGGACATGAAGCATCCCTCAGTCCAAGTCTTAAGGTATTCTTTTTTTATTTTCTCAAGGCATCTATGTTGCCCAAGCATCTCCTCCCCACTAAGGCAGTAGCTCCTTCAGCTTTACTCATCCTGAGTCAGGCATTGTGGCTTACAATTATAGTCCCTGTTCTTGGAGTAGCTGAGGCTAGTGGACTGCTTGAGATTAGGAGTTCCGAGTTGCAACTGAGTGGATGTCTACACTAAGTCTAAAACCAATATGGTGAGTCTCTAGGTGCAGAAAGTTATCACGTTGCGTAAGGAGGGCGTGAACTGGCCCAGGTTGGAAAAACAGAGCAGGTTAAAGCCTCTATGCTGATCAACATTGGGATTGGGCCTATGACAAAGAAAGGAAGGAAGGAAGGAAAGAAGGAAGGAACGGAGAGAGAAAGAGAAAGACAGAAAGAGGAAGGGAGGCAGAGAGGGAGGAAGGAAACTTAATTATGAGGTTAACTCTATCTCCATTGTTCTTTTCATTGTGCTATTCAGTTATAAGCACAAATCTGTCTCCCACAATTACTCATGTAGCCTGGTCATTGTCATTCAGCCAGGGTAAGAGACCATTTTTGTAGAATGGGTAGTAAAGAGGTTTCTTTCATGTTTCTACTCATGAAGTCATCGGGCTGCTTAGAACATGCTGAGAAATATTTGGCAATCAGATGATTAGAGAAGGGTGTGAATAAGGACACAGCCATATCTTTCCATGGTCCAGTTAGCCTCTCTCTGACTGATGGTCTAAGTCTAAGCAGTCATATCACCAGTGGGATCACCTGATCACACAGAGGAAGCCTGGACCAGAGAGTGAAAAACCAGTCTTGCTCCCGAGGAAATCAAATCCTAATGATGGTTATCTTTATACAGTCTTCCCTTCCACATTGTGACTTTCCCCATCGCGGTTTCAATCTATCTCAGATTGGCATAAAAAATTAATGGGAATTTTGGGGGGAGTTTCGAGAAGCCACAGATGACACATGAAGGCCAGCAGACAACACAGAGCCTATGACCAAATACTTAACCCAAATTTTACAATAACATACTGTAAACATCCCATAAAAGAAAAAGAAAAAATTCAGACTACTACTCTGGTATGAAAGGAGGGCCAAAAAATATGCAGATTTTCCAGCTTGCGGGGGCACTGCTCCACTAGCTCCAGCAATGTGGAAGGGATAACTGACAACATATAGAAGACAATACATTGAAGAGAAGCTAATAAAATAGTCACTTTTAAAAAGGAAAGAGACAAGAAAGTATCTGTGAGATGTGGTACAGTAAATGAATGCCAGGCACGTAGTTCTGACACCTACTAGCTGTGTGATCACGGGTAAATCTCTGAACCTCTCAGATCTCCACACAGCTCACTGAGACTACAAATTACAGAGGAGCTGAGATCTTTAGAGAGCTAACATGTGACAGTACACTCCTGGGTGTGGAGTTAGATAGAGGAAAATCCTAGATTTTAGATGAATCCCATCTCTTATAATACCTGTGTGATCCTTAGGAAGTCACTCTCAGTCTGCTCATTTGTAAAGTGAGGGGGTTGGGGTAAATGATGCTCCAGCGTCCAGCTCTGAGCATTTTCCGACAGTTCCCCACGCCTGGAATTCTCTCCCTCCTCATCTCTGCCTCTTGGCTTCCTTCAAGTCCCAGCTAAAAATCCCACTTTCTACAGGGAGCCTTTCCTGAGATCTCTTATTTCCAGTGCCTTCCCTCTTTTGATCACTTCCTATTTATCCTGTATGTAGCTTGTCTGCACACAGTTGTCGGCATATTGTCTCCTCTATTAGTCGGTAAGCTCCTTGAGGCAGGGGTGGTCTTTTGTCTTTCTTTGCCCAGTGCTTAGCACAGTGCTTGGCATATAGTAGGCAATAAATACTTGTTAACTCAACTACATCTATGATTTTATAAATGTTGGCTAAGAATTATTTACCTAGTCCAGTTCTTGGCCAAGAGGACTCAGAAAAAAATTGTTAGAAAAAAATCATTCATGATGATTTCGGCATTAATTACAAATTGAAAACGGTGACGTTAGTCTGGTTCCGAAACAGCTTTGTCTTTCAAATTCTGTCTTCCCCTTTGACCCGGCATATAAGAGAGCCATGCTTCGGGGATAGAAAGCACTAGCTATATTTATACAGCACTTGTTGTATCTATGCTTTTCAAGACTGGACTCCCAAAAGTGCTGGAGTACCAGTACTTGGCTCTGCCACTAACTAGTTGATGAGATCACAGATTTGGCGCTAAGGAGAGCCTCGGAGGTCATCTAGACCAACATCTTCATTTTACAAATAAGGAAACTGAGGCCAACCAAGACAAAGTGACTTTCCCAAGGATCACCCAGGTCCTCAGACTCCAAATACAGTATTCTTTCCCTTGAACCATGACAAACCACCTTGGGTAAACAAAACACTTAGTTTCTCTGGGTCTCAATTCTCTTATCTATCCTACCAGAAGCATAGACCAGGTCAACCCTAAGGTTCCCTCCAGCCCCAAATTCCATGATTCCATGATCAGCCTTGAAAGTGGCAGCATTCGTAGTGGGCTAGCCTTGGCATCAGAAGGACCTGGCTGCCAGGCTTACCTCTGACATGCAGATGAGTAAATGACCATCGGCAAATATATGGGCAAATCCATGGGCAAATGATCATGCCCATGGGCAAATCCCTGAACTTCTCAGCACTCTGGACAACTTTCTGAGACTCTAAACCAGTAGTATCAGACTCAAACAGGAGCAGCAGCTACTAGATCGTGCATAAGGATCTCTGCGGCCTGCACACTGACTTAGAGCACCACATACTGAGATTATCTATGCTCTCTTACATTTTTACTTATCATGTTATATATTTCCCAATTACATTTGAATCTGTTTCTGCTGTCTCAGGGAGTGTTGCCTGCAGGCTTCGTGTTTGACAGCTCTGCTCTAATTTACAAAGGACTTGCTGTGTTTATTAAACAGGCAACATGGTGCAGTGGATGGAGCACTGGACTTAGTTAGGAAGACCTGCATTCAAATGATGCCTCAAATACTACCTATGTACCCTGGGCACGTTTAGGACTTGGTATCATCACAGCTTATATGAAACTCAGATTGCTCTGTGGGAATTAGCACCAGGACTCACACCTGGAACCTACAGTGCCCTCAAATGAGGAAACTGAGGCCCAGAGGATTAAGGTTGCCTGATTCTTCTGCTCCAGGTTCTGCAGAGGGCCAAAAGCACCTGAGAAAAGATGCCTCTCCCCATCTCCCTCCCCACCCCCACCCCCACACCCTCTGACTTTGCAGAGTGGGAACTGAGGAAAGTGATAACCAGGATATCTCCTCACAAGAGATATTTCATCAGCAGGAACTGGTCAATGCAATTAGTGTAAGAGAAGAGATGCTTGTGTACAAGTTGGAATGACGCTGAAGAGGCATTACGTCTGCTTTGCCACCACACCCTAAGCACAAGGGACCCTTCCATCAGACTTGGAGCTGAAACCCCCATATGTGCTTTGCACACAGTAAGTGCTTAATAAATAAATATCCATCCATCCCAACAAATCACTTAACCTCTCTGGGCTTCAGTTTCCTCATCTGTTAAAAAAAAGAGGGTTGGACTGGGATGACTTCCTTTCCATCTCTATAATCTAAGTTAGTGGAAGAAGTTTCCATACCAGAAGTTCCTTGAACTGAAATCACAGATCCAGAGCAAGAAAAGGATAAATCCAAAGCCAGCAGAAAATCATGAGGGTTAAAAGAGCCCTTTGCTGAACTCTGATAGAATTTCACATTCATCTAGCTTGATTCGTTAGTAATTACTGGTAGTTGTCAGTCTTAGTGGGGATGGAGAAGTTTTGGCTTTGCGTACTAGAAGCCAATCAAATTTGATATGATACAAAAACATGTTAAGTGTGCAGTCTCAGTGACTGAAACCCAGAACTGGAGGTCACACATACACTGAATCCTTGCAATCTGGACCTAGTAAACCTCACAAAGCCTAATGGTAGATGCACCAATCTGAGCATCCATACACATGTTCTTTCTCTATATCAAATGGAAAACTGCCTACCTGTTGGTGCGTGAAACTTCAGGACTGCAAGGCTTGACCAGCAAGCAGTGGCCCCACGAGTAATGCACAGTGTCAGGGTTAAGGATCATGCTCGGAGAGATGTTCTTCCATAGTGTCAGTTTATGACCAAGAGAGGCATAAGGACATAGACATTTCTTCTAATTTTAAAGCAAATTTTTTGCTTATCCTTTTTTCTTTTTCAACTGGGTACTACCAACTCCAACTGTCCTCTATTTACAGGACCTAGAAATGAATGGTAAGTAGCCCTTGGGGGAGAAGCTTCCCCTCAGTCTTTTCTTCAGCCCTCTGTCCCCAACTTAAAGGACCCCACTGAGACCCCACTGAGGCAACCAGGTGGGGAGAGTGACATAATTGTTCATACTACTTGGATGAGCTGGGAGTCACCAAGTACAAGTCTTCAGGCAATATGGAAGACCACCAGCCTTACCATCTGCTCAGCCACTTCTAAACCCTTGAGCACTGTTATCTGACCTGCTATGCACCCACCCCAAGAGCCCCTAGGCCTTGCCATTCACTTCATAGGCTTCAGACTTCTGGGTCTTTCCATTTGCCCTACAGCTGACTTTACCTATTGTCTTCTCCAAATGTGAGTTATATAAGCTTGTGGAGAGAAGAAATTGTCTTGTATTTTTTTCTTTGTATCCCCAGAATTTAGCAAGTGTTTGACACAGAGTAACTGTTTAGTAAATACTTTTTCATTCATTCATTTTTCTAACCCTCTCACCATTTTAGAGATAGGTTATGGAGGCCCAGAGAGGTCAAGGGACTTAATCAAATTCACACAGATCATTAGCAACACAGCCAGGATTTGAACCCAAGTCTTCTGATTCCAAATCCAGTGTTTGTTCTACTATACCAAAGTGGCCTGTTGAGGAAAAGGGAACGCATCTTTCAGTCGTGACTGAGATAAAATGACATACAGTTGTGGGGGGAGCATAAATACCTCTTTTCTTTCTTTTTTTCTTTTTTTTTGTTCATAGTCTGCCCCAAGGGAGAGCCTGGATTTTCCTGACCCTGCATAAGTTAGTTCCTAAAAACTTTCTAGCCCAGGCAACCACATCATGCTACCTAAACCAGTAGGACTTAGCGCCTCGGGAAACTTGGGCTGTAGCAAAGCTCATACCCGCCCAGGTTCCTGAATGTGCTCTCCTTCATGGTCTGGGTCCTCCTGACCCGCCATATTGGGAAGCAGAGGCTACAAGGCGAGGTTACACGGGGAGAGAGGAGGTGGAGCCATGGCTGTCCTTACTTACTTTCTGCCTCTGGAAAACATGTGTGAGGGGAGCCACCTGGCAATCTTTGTGAGCCCCAAAGACCTTGCACATGGAGCAGGTAGGTACTTCACAGCTCAGGCAGTAAATGTTGATGCGTTCATCTTCATGCTCTTCACACATCGGCTGCTCTGACTTTCTTTCTGGCCTGTGAAAGAAACACTCAAGATAAATATGCCCCCAATGTCCACTTTTCCAGGAGTAGATTGGGGCACTGAAGAGAGCCCAGCCCTGTCCCTGTATCCCCTAGACTTGCCTAATAATAGCTGTCATTAACATGGCACCTCCTATGTGCCAAATGCTTTACAAATGTTATCTCATTTGGTCATCACAGTAGATACGACGATTATCCCATTCTACAGCTGAAGAAACTAGAATCAAAGTCACTTGCCCAAAGTAACAGTTAGCAATTTGAACTCAGGCCTTCCTGATTCTAGGAGCTCAGGAATATTCTAGAGACCCTTCTATACTTACAGAGTATTTCTCCACAGGCCCTTCCCCAGGTGTCCACTAATTTCCTTCCAGAATTACTTTCCCTATTGTGGTCAATGCCAAGACCATGCTAAGTCATTAAGTTCCTACTATGTGCAGGCCCTGTGCTAAGTGCTAAGGATATAAAAAGAGGCAAAAGACAAGTCCCTGCTCTCAAGGAGCTTATGATCTAATGAGGGAGACAATAAACATATACAGAAAAGTCATATACAGGATAAATAGGTAATAATTAACAGAGTGAATGCACTAAAATTAAGAGGGGTGGGCCAATCAGTGCTGTGAGTTTTGATTCTATGTCTCTTAAATAGAAGTTTCTTTTTTCTCTCACTTCCTCCTCCCCACGAACAAAAAAGAAAAGAAAAAAAAATCCTCATAACCCATGTAGTCAAGTGAAGTCAATTCCATTACTGTCTATGTCCAAAAACATGTCTCTTTCTGCACCCTGAATCCATCACCTCTCTGGCAAGAGGTGGGGAGCCTACTTCCTCTTCAGTCCTCTGGTTACTGCAGTTAATAAAAGTGGAACATCTCCCCATCCCCAGTCTCTCATTCCTTGAAACACTCTCATCCTTCTCTCTTCTCAGGTAATTATTAGCTGAGTGACCTTGGACAATCACTAAACCTCTCTCAACTTTGGCTTCTTTAGCAGTAAAGAGAGGATAACAATAACATGTGCCTAACAGGGATGCTGTGAGGATTAAATGAGATAATCTATGGTCTTATGTAAAGCTCTTCGAAACCTTCAAGTACCATGTTAATGCCAGTTAATACCATAACTGTTGTTATTATTTCATTGCAATGCCCAGATCTCAGTTTAACCAACAGTTTTAGAGACAAAGGTTTTCCCAAGGTTGCTGGCAGGCATACACCTCTGACGACTGAAGTCCTACTGTGCTAGTTCATCAAGGTGCAATGACACTGGGCTTCCAAGCTCATGACAACAGAACACAAATTCTACAATCTGGAAAGGCTTGAAAGAAGGGCCTAGGGATGAATTGTGTGTTTGTCATCTAATGACTAGTCCAGCTAAGTCTGGAGAGGTTCATCACCAGAAGGTTGGCTACCAGGTGATGATGAATCTTTTGGCCAGAGCAACTCATAAAGCCCATCTAGTAAAGAATGGAGGGCTTACAATCTGGAGCTAGGGAGGGAGTATGGCTACAAGTAAAATCATGGCTCCCTGGAGGGGGGAAGGAAGAAGCATTTATTAAAAACTTACTATGTGTGAGGCACTATGCTAAGAGCTTTACAAATATTATCTCATTTGATCCTCACAACAACCCTGGGGTTTAGGTGCTAATATTAGCCCCAATGTACAGTTAAGGAAACTAAGACAGACAGAGGTTAAGTGACCTTCCAAGGGTCACATAGCTAAGCAAGAATCTGAGGCTGGATTTGAACTCAGGTCTTCCCAACTCCAGTGCCAGCACTCTACCCCAACAGACCTTCTAGCTACCTCATGGCTCTTCGGAAATATCAGAGTAAGATGTAAGTAAGAGTAAGTAAAATTCTATTTTATGATTCTACTCCCCGATGAAGACACTCACCAAACAATGAAATAACCAAAAGAGCCCAAGTGAAAAAGGATCTAGGACCCAAGTGAAAAAGTATTGATAAGCATTACCTCTATAATTACTCTCCTGGATTTCTCTTCTTTCTCCTCTCCTCTCTTCTCTTCTCCTCTCCTCTTTTTTCTCTCCTTTCCTCTACCATCTTCCCTCTCCTCTCTTCTTCTCTCTTCTCTTCTCTCTCCTCTCCTTAATTCTCTTCTCCTCTCCTCTCTTCTCTTCTCCTCTCTTCTCTTCTGCTCCTCTCCTCTCTTCTCTTCTCTCTCCTCTCTTCTCTTCTCCTCCCCTCTCCTCTTCTCCTCTCTCCTCTCTTCTCCTCTCTCCTCTCTCCTCTTCTTTTTTCTCTCCTCTCCTCTATTTTCTTCTCCTCTCTTCTCTCTCTTCTCCTGAATTCTCTTCTCCCCTCTTCTCCTCTCTTCTCCTCTCCTCTCCTCTCAGTTCCTTTTTTTTTTTTTAAGGGGATCCATAATTGCATTAGTATAAGGAGCTCCTGTGAAGAAGTCTTTCTACCCATGCAGAAGAGCAACTGCTCGGTGACTACAGCTTTAGGAAGCTGCCGAGGAGTACTGAAAGTACTGAGAAGTCACTGAGTCTCAATTTTCTCAGCTACAAAATGGGGGTACTACCTATTTCTCAGAGGGCATTGTGAGGCTCAAATATCTGGTGTTCACCCAGTGCTAGTTCATCAAGCACTACAAGCTTACAACCAAAGAGATTATTATTATGGTTTGTTGCTGTTCACTCATATCCGATTCTTCATGACTCTCTATGAGATTTTCTTAGCAAAGATACTGGAGTGGTTTGCCATTTCCTTCTCCACTGGATTAAGGTAAACAGATGTGAAGTAACTTGCCCAGGGTCACCCAGCTTGTGAGTGTCTGCGGCAGGATTTGAATTTAGATCTTTCTCACTGCAGGCCAGGCACTCTATCCCCTGAGCCACCCAGCTGCCCCATTGTTATTATTATTTTTATTATTATGGTTACTGATTCCTATATGAAGCTACAGGAATATAACTACACATGCCTAAAAAATTTTTAATTTCCTGATTAGATCTTTGTCATGCACTTATGAACTAAGGGTCAAAAAAAGGGTTCCTCAAGGTAGGGATAAGCATGACACTTTCCATGAGTTGCCTTGATTTGTCATTCAAAACAGTCCATCTACTGGCTGTGCAAGGGCAAAGGCAGAGGCAGCAAGAAAGACATTAAGGCACATCTCAAAGGCTCTATTTATAAGAATGGGATTATTTATAAGTAATCTTGAAATTAAACCCAGGAGAGATGGGCATGTTCACCTTTTAGGCAACAGCATAAGGCAGCATATTCTTATTGTCTCTATCCACTCCCTAATCTTCCTTTTCCCCTCCCCCACAAAGTAACTGTCAAAGGGGAAAAAATGACTGAAATGTGAGAAAGGCTGAATAATTGAGGTAATGCTACTGTGAGCAAACGATCTCCAGTGAGCATCTATTTGGAAGGTCCTGGGCAGCTAGGTGGCTCAGTGGATAGAGTGTTGGGTTGTCATTTGTCCTTTGTTCTCAAAGAGGATTATGACATCAGAGAAGTGAGGCTATGATCTGCAAGTGAATTGGATTTAAGTGAGGGAGGGCTGTGCAAGGCCCCAGCCTCACTTTCTCCTCTGGAGCCATTTGGGTCCAGTGGTCTGATATGGCTCAGAATGACTAGAGATGGCCCTGGATGCTGTGGGAGACCTTGGCCTTTTTAAGCTAAGGTCTTCCAGACTATCTTGCCTTCATCTGTATCCTCAATGCTTGGCATGGTGCCTGGCACATAGTAGGTGCTTAATAAATGTTTATTAACACACTGACCATAGTTTCAAAGTTATTATTAATGCCAGGTTAATTATTAATATCCTTGCCACCATCACTACCCCTAAGCTGTCCCCTGAGCTATATTATCTAAGAACAATATTGAGCAAATAATTTTGTCCTAAGTCTTCAAAGTTACTTAATGCTCAGGTCTTGCTCTGGCTGGGTAACCCTGGGTGAGTTACTTAATCCCTTAATGCCTGAGGTAACTCTTTTACAAGTAAGTTTCATTGAAAACACGGATCCCTTTTGATAGTCGTATGACTTCATTGGAGGACAGAACTCTGGAGACAAAGCTTCTTTTACCAATGTGGATCTACAACCGTTCTAAAACCCAGTTACTTGTCCAGGGTCACATATATCTAATAAGTAAGAACTTAGTAAATGTTTGTTCAACTGAACTGAGCTAAGTAATAATAACAATTTGCACTGATGTAATACTTTAAGGTTCACAAAGCACTTTTTCACAATGAACCAGTTAGTGCTAGTATTATTATCCCTATTTTTAAAATGAGGAAATTATATAGTTTTTAGCATTGAGTATACAGTTATAGTATGTAGTTAGCATTTAGAAACCTAAACATGGCCTGCCATTCTATTTCTTTATACATACACATATTCATATAAACACAAGTGTTTTATATGTGTATATACATATATGCATACAGAGTATAATATACATGTAAGTTTATGTATTCATATATTGTATGTATATTTCAATGGGAAATTCACTGGATCATAGCTTTGCCATTTACTACCAGTGTGACCTCAGGCATGTCATTTAAGTTCTCTGGGTCTCAGTTTCCTCATTTGTAAAATGAAGCAATTGAAGTGGATAATCCCTGTGGTCCCTTCTACCTCTGCATATTTGAAGATGGATAAAGGAGATGATTTGAAAGTGTCTCTTCTATACTATTTCTCTATGGTTGAATTATGGCACCTGTTTATGTTTGTTTAAAATCTTAAGAGGTGAGGGCTTATAACACTTTTTTAATTCAATTCCATCACCATTAATTATGTGCTTCTGTTGTTGCATGCCCTGTCCTAAGGACACAGGACATTAAGATGAAAACTGAAGTTTCCTGCAGTCAAGGAGTTTATAATTCTTTAGTATTTTCTTCCAAAACAGAATATCATTAATAAGTTATTTCATTCTCAAGCAGCACAACAGCATCAATGTCAAGCTTTGAGGATGACATAATGTTTGGGGAGGTAGTTAACACATGGGATGACAAAGTTCAGACCCAAAGCAAGTAAGTACAGGTAATAGTGTAGAGAAGTGAGCTAGGTCAAATAAGACGGCATTTCATAGGGATAAACTGAGTTCTACACTTGGGTTCCAAAAGTTATTTCGAAAAATAGAGCACAGGGAGCCATAGTTGGCACAAGGTCCTGAGAAAAAAGATCTTGGGGTTTTAGATGACTGAAAGTTCAGTGAGGCAACTCTCTCTCCTCCCCCCCAAATCTAATGGTCTACTAGGCTGCATTGAGAGGTATAATGTCCCGAAAGAGAGAGGTAAGAGTTCTGCTATACTTTGCCCCAGTGGTCTCCCCATCTAGAATACCATCTTCACTTCTTGGCACAACATTATAGGAAAGATACAAACAAGCTGACATGTCCAAAAGAGAGCAACCCAGATGGCGAGAGGACTGGGGAATGAATATGCCATACAAGGAAGGGTTGAAGGAACTGGAATGCTTAGCATGGAGAATGGGAGACTTAGGGGAGTACATGACAGCTGTCGTCAAGTATCTGAAAGGCCGTCTTATGGAACACGGAATAGACTTGTGTTACTTGGACCCTGAGGGCAATACTAGGGACAGTTGGTAGAGGTTGAAGAGGAGAAGATTTCAGTTAGATGTAGTATAAAGCTTCTCATCAATTAGGGCTACTCAGAAGTGGAATGGATTACATCAGGATATAGTAAATTCCCTGCCATTAGACATCTTCAGTAAAAGAAGGCATAAGAAGTACAATGGGATGCACTGGGCCTAGAGTTAGGAAGACCTGAATTCAAATCCAACTGCAGACACCAACTGGCTATGTGACGCTGGACAAGTCACTTAACTTCTGTTTCCTCAGTTTCCTCATCTGTAAGATATAGATAATAATAGCACCAACCTCCTAGGTTTGTTGTAAGATAGTAATTGTAAAGCACTTACCATTGTACCTGGCACATGGTAAGTGCCATATAAATGTTATTATTATTATTATTACTTAATGTTTTTTCCTTCCTTCTTTTCCTCTAAAAGACTGAATGGACCTATATGTACAAAAATATTTATAGCAGCTCTTTTCTAGTGACAAAGAATTGGAAATTGTGAGGATACCCATCAACTGGTGAATGGCTGAACAAGTTGTGGCATGTGATTGTGATGAAATACTACTGGGCTATAAGAAATGATGAAAAGGCAGACTTGAGAAAAACCTGGAAAGACTTGTATGGACTGATGCTGAGTGAAGTGAGCAGAACCAGGAGAACATTGTACACAGTAACAGCCACGCTGTGTGTTAACCAACTTTGATAGATTTAGCTTTTCTCAGCAAATTCTAAAAGACTCATGATGAAAAATACTATCCATATCCAGATAAAGAACCATGGAGTCTGAATGCAGATTGAAGCATACTATTTTCTCTTTTTTTTTTGTTTTTTCTTTCTCACGGCTTTTCCCTTTTGTTCTGATTCTTCTTTCACAACATGAAATGTGGAAATAAGTTTAATATGATTGTACATCTATAGCCTATATCAAATTGCATGTCATCTTGGGGATGGGGTAGAGGAGGGAGAGGAAAAATTTAGAACTCAAAATCTTATACAAGTGAATGTGGAAATTAAAAATAAATAAATAAATGGAAATTTTTTTTAAAATGATGAGCAGGATGCTCTCAGAAAAACCTAGACTTACATGAACTGATGCAAAGTGAAATAAGTAGAACCAAGAGAATATTGTACACAGTAACAGCAATATTGTAAGATGATCAACTGTGAATGATTTAGCTAGGACCTATGATGAAAAATGCTATCCATCCCCAGAGAAAAAAACCCAGTGGAGTCTGAATAAGGTCAAAGTATACTTTTTTTTACTTTTTTAATTACTCTTGGGGTTTTTTTTGGTCTATATTTTGCAACATGACTAATATGGAAATGTCTTTTGCATAACTACACACAAATAACCTAGATCAAATTGTTTGCCTTCTTAAGGAGGGTGGGCAGGGAGGGGGAGAAGGAATTTGGAACTCAAAATAAAAAAAAATGTTAAAAATTATTTTTACATGTAATTGGGGAAAAATAAAAAACTAAACTAAAATTTAAAAATGAATAAATAAAAGACTGGAGCCTACCTGTTGAATAGGTTGTAGCATGAATTTTCATTCAGGTAAGAATTGAACTAGATGATCTCTGAAATAATTTCAGAGAAACAATTGAGATTCTGTTATGTTCATTAACCTCCTTTATTCTCTTGGGAGTAGTACCCACTCTCACTGGACAAGACTAACAAGGACAAATATTTTCTAGTATATAAAGGGGGTGATAATCCTTTCTCAAGGTTAATGCCTCATCAATGCTAAGGGGGTCTTTGTTCTGACGTTGATAACATCTCCTGAAAAATGTTCCAATTAACCTGGCCACTTTAATAGCACTTTAAGGATCAACTGATTAAGACACAGGCAGTCACACATTTGAGCCATGCCCTAGTACTTGGCCTTTAAAAATTAGTCTAGAGGGCTAGGGAGAGAGGTATGGAGAGAAACTGAGATGGCTAGAGAGAAGTTGATTAAAGACCCATAGATTCCATTTCCCTTAAAGGGAAGTCCTTCTAGGGAACTACATAGTCTAAAGAAAGTAGAGAATCACACACCCCTTAACTTGGCAGCAAACAGAGGCAGTGGTGGAGTGGTGAGGGGTTTCTGGGCCAAACCTGGAGCTTCTGAAAGAAGAGCCAGTGGCAAGAGAGGGTCAGGAATGGAGCCATAGAGGACTTCTGGGTCCAAGCCTCCTGGACAAAGAGGAGAAGATGCTGGACAATACATTATTCCTGGGCCAGACCTCATAGAAATAAAACAGTTTCTGAACAACACCAAGTTGCTAGACCAAGCAGAGGAGTTTTCATATCAAATAGGAGACAGAACTGAGGAGCAGCAAGGAACAGAGCTACAAAGTAGACATTCAAACTTGGACTTTTCCCTTCACAGTTACTGAAAGTTATGTGGACACCGAGGGTCCAGGGGTAAAGGATTGACTCTTTAACGATTCCAAGTGCTTTCTTCTTGTGGGAGAGACTCAATCCTAGGATAGTCTTATGTGACTGGAGAAGGTCTAGCTTTCTGGACTAGTCCACTGGAGAGAACAGATCCTAGGCTTGGGTTTGAATCTGATCTGTTTTGTGATTCTTTGGTCAGGTTAAACAATGCCAGTCCTATAGTCAACAACACATGGTCAGCTTTTGTGCTTATACATAGTACCTGAACATGAGACAAATCCTGATTTTCCAAGGGCCAATTGTTGCTGAGGGCAAAACAAGATGAACAGAGATTTCTCTGTGACACCCTGGAGGTTGATCTTGGTCCATGTAAATCCAAAATTTCAGTCCATGCCACGAATTACATGTAAAAACTTAGTCCAAGTTCTGTACTTTTGAGTTAGTAAAGCAGAGGTCTGTATCCTGTCATTAAGCACCCACAGAATGTTGTTGTTGTTCAGTTGTGTTGGACTCTATTGTGACCCCATGAACCAAGTTCATGGGGTTTTCTTGACAAAGATACTGGAATGGTTTGCTATCTACTTCTCTAGTATGTCCTCATTTTACAGATGAGGAACTGAGATAAATACGGGCTAAACAACTCACAAAGGATCACATAGCTAGTAAGTATCTGAGGCTGGATTTGAACTCAGATCTCCCTGACTCCAGGCCCAGTGCTTTACCCACTGCACCACCTAGCTGCCCTCCACAGAGTAACTGTGGGATAAAAAGGAATGATGCACTGGACTGTTACCTGGTGGACTCCTGCTTGTATATGTCAATGATGTTTTCCACCAGCAAGTTCCTCTGAAGTCCATATACCCCATGTCTGTCCAGAACCACTTCATGCCTGCAGGAAGGGCACCTGAATCGACCACCCGATGCCACTGTAGTGCCTCCTCTCGTTGGCAAGTATGGGTTTGAGGCCTGTTCTTGCCCAACAAAAAAAACAATTCAATAATGACACAGATAACTTTTCCCAGACCTCTTAAGCCTAAATTTCCACTTTATAAATTGGTCAAACAACCTCAACTTAAAGTTCTAGTATATAATATTCCCCCAGAGCCCCCTCATATGTAAAAAAGCCAATATTAATCCAAACTATGGAATTCCTCCAGGCATCACAGGTTCCCTTTTTACCCTAAGGAAGCGGTCTTATATTCAAATGGTGTGGAAGTTTATTTCATTAACCTATTTGCATTACTACCTAAATCTTTGTTCTCTTCACAAAGACTTGGCAATCTAGTCACAAATCTCTAGTCAAAAAGCATTTATTAGGCACTTACTATGTGCCAGGAACCATAGAACAAAGAGACAAAGAGCTGCTTTATATTACTCAGAAAGGGGCGGGGCTAGAAGCAGGCCAGAAGACTTGGGCTCCCCAACCTAAGATATTCACATCCAAAAATCTTAAAAGGGGAGCTCAACTTTACCCTAAAGAAACATAAAGCCCATATGAGAAAACAGCTCAAGGCACCCGAAAGATGCTCCGCCAGTGATAGATAATTCACTTAAAACTTTGAAAAATGGATTTCCCTCCTTTCTTAGGGGTGCTGGCTCTTGGATTTTGAAATAATACTCCATCACAGGAAGTGGTAAGGGGGTTACAAAGTAGAAAACACAAATAACAGAAATGGACAAACTCCCTCTCCTGCCTCCAGAACAAATCCAGCCCTGTGAAATTCCCAGCAGGACCTCATCTCCATAGGAAGTACTTGCTTCTGGGTTTCTCCTTCTACCCCACGTGCCCTCCTCCCTGAATAAGCAAACAAACCTACCTGGAAAATGTCACTGGCGCACTTTCTACACAGGTTGTGCTGACATGGAAGAATCACCACAGGTTTTGTGAACATCTCCAAACAGATGGGACAGATAAGCTGCTTCTCCAGGGTGTCCATCGTCTGCTGTTCCTTGGAAAAAGACTTGTAATTTAGAGATGTACTCATCTCCTCACCGGCCCTGAAGCGTGTGGTGTCAGTGAAAGGGTGATCCAGATGGATGGAGGGGTAAATCTAAGGGCTGGTTTCCTTGAAAGAATTCCAAGGATTGTGCACTCAAGTGTCCTTTAGGTTTCTTTGGCTAGAGGACATTGTTTCAAGGCTGGTTCAGAGTGGGGGCTGAGGCTGTTTTTAGCAGTCCCTCATCACATGGTGTCAGGCCGGCTTGTCCATATATGCCAGTGACGGGGGATGGATTCAGACAGGTGATGGATCACAGAGACCAACATTCCTGGCCTGCTGAAGAAGGGAGGAGGTGGGAAGAAGAGTGACAGACTCATAGAGAAGGGAAAGAGAAGCTGACAGTTGTCCCCAACAAAAGCAAGTGTGAGCCACTGCCTAGTAATGGAGTGAGTGGTCAGTAACTACTTACTGAATAACTGAATAGCTGACCTTCCTGGAGTAGCCCAGGGCACAACAAACACTGTTTAGTATGTCCCTCTTTCCAAAGTGTAGTAGGGGAGTCATCAAACCGCACATAATAATGCTTTCTTCTGAGGGAAGAGAATCTCTTTAACAAGAAAAAAAGAAAAGAATCAGTCTAGTGCCATAACTTTGGTCATCTAAGAGGGTCTGCTTTATTATAGATACTTACACTTGTTACCGTCCTTGGCTTTCAAGTGATTACAAACTCTAAGAGCAGATGGCAACCTGAAAAAATCTCTATAAAGTAAAAAATCTCCAAGCCCTAGTTAATGGGTCACTTATTTAAAAAATATTCAAGATGACAAAACAGCAATAAAAACAAAAACAAAAACAAAAAAAACCCAAACCAGGTCCTGGACAGTCCCTTGGAACTTGTTGTCATGGGGTTTGAGGTTGGTGGTAAGTTTCCAACTGGCATGCATGTAAGCTAAGGAGAAGGTTATTTTCTCCTTGCTGTACAGCTGGCAAGAGGTTTCGATGTTATTGGTCAGTAATAATGGGAGTACAGTTCTCCTAAATTGAATGTAACCCAAATATATCTCAGCTCCCAGCCCTCCCTGTGTTGATAGCTGTTTTTGAGACACATACAACCCTTTGAACTAGACACTTCTTTCAGGGTTATTTTTAAAATGACTGTTTCCCAGATTACTTCTGACATGCGATGTCTACTCTCAGGTCAAAACCATCTGTGCTGGTATTTGCTAGCATTTGCAAAACAATTGTATAACCAGTAAATATTTCAGCTAAAACTTCAAACTCAGAACCACCCATGAAAGGAAAAGAAAAAAAATGTTTGTGTCTGTGGATAACAGTGACCAGTTTATCACTGCCTTTCTTCTAGGTTCTAAAAATAAAATGAGCCATAGGAACTTATCAGGAGGTGCGTTTACTAAAATAAGCCTGCATTCACTTAATAACTGATAACCCAGGATGGCCAATGGTCTTTTCTTTATCCCTATTTGTTGATTTTAGGATACTAGCACTGAAGTTAAATTCTACTAACATATTAACTATAAGAAGTGACCTCTGGAAATTTCTGTTGTTGTTTTCAGCAACTATACTGTAGCAAAGTAATGGTCTAGTTTTTGGGACAATTCTTTTAATAATCCGACTAAGGCAGTTAACGAGCCACATTCATTCTATTTAGTGTGCAATGCCAAAGATGGCATGTTAGACACCCTCCAGAAAAGATGTTGTCTTTATTTTCCAAAAGCTGGCAACCAGTGCAAAATAACTCAAATTAACAACACACTACATGTAGTGAAGCCATCTATCCATCTATCCATCTATCCATCCATCCATCCATTGGTTCAACAAGCATTTATCAAAAGCCTATTCTGTGCCAGGCACTATACTTGGTATTGCAGCTGACAGAAGATGAACAAGACAATTTATCCTCAAGGAGCTTATATTCTACTGAGGGAACACAGCACATATAAAGAGAATTTAACAAACAACAAATATACACACACATATGTGTATATATATATATATATATATATATATATATATATAAAATAGAGTTCTGATTGAAAACATTCAGTCATTCATTATTTGTTCAATATTAAGCACCTACTATGTACCAGGAACAATGGTAGGTATTACAAGGGATGTGAGCTTACCCTTCTTAAGGCTATCATTCTCACAACCCTGATACTTCCTTTAAGTGAAAAAGGACCATAGAAGCCTAGATTTAGAGCTGCAAGGGCCCTTAGAGGTCATAAAGTTTAACTCTACCCCCTCCCCCTACATAAGTTTTACAGATGAGGACACTGAGGCACAGAGCAATTAAATGACTTGCCCAGGATCACATAACTAGTAAGTGAAGATGAAGGCTATATCTTTTATAGAAGGTATCTAATGTGCTGTCTTTGGCACTGCATATCAAACATAATGGCTAATTAACTGCCTTAGTTGGGTAATTAAAAGAATTGTTCAAATAACTAGACCATTATTTTGCTTCAGCATAGGAGTTGAGAAGAATGATAGAAATTTCCGGATGCCACTTTGGAGGTTTAAGGCTCAAGTGTCTTTGGCAGGATTTGAATTCAGGTCCTTCTTGACTCCAAGCCCAAGGCTCCAAAAACCAAACAGTAGAAGAAAAAAGGAAAAAAAAAATCCCATCCTTAATAAATCCAGGAGCTACATCGTGGCATTTCTTTCATTAAACAGTTTGCAAAACTCTAGCTGAAGGCTTTCTTTCATTTGAAAATTGCTCTATCTACAAATTTATTGTTAATAATGTTCAGCTCAGAAGAAAGAGCTCTAAAGAAACCCTGGGAAAGTTACAATTTATACATTACTTTAAATATTTCTTGGGCTGATCCATGTGCCAAAAATAAACAACAGCTGACCCAAGAAAAGCCATATTCTGAAATGGCTAGAGCCTTCTTAACTTTAAACCGAAATCTGAGTTGAAATAGACTAAGTCAAATTCTATTTCGGAGCTGGAAAAAAAAAAAGAAAAATCTATAAAGCCCAGATACAACTATTCATATTGTTGGGGTTCCCCCACTTATTCTTTTTCACATATAACATCAGGAGCTGAAGACAACCTTCGCTTAACCCCTTGCATTGGGGTCTTGTTCTGGTGTCGACCATATTGTGGAAGTAAGTGAGCTTAGGTTCTTGAAGGCCATATGAATGGATCACAAGCTAGAAAGACTTCCAAGTCTGGGACTGGTAATAGATTGACTACATGTCTGAGAACCAACCCAGCAAAATGCAGCAAGGCATGTCTCCAGAAGGCTGACCACCTTAATGACTTTTTCAGCCACAGCGACCCAAGAAGTTATCTCCTAAAGTAGAGTGGAGGTTGTCATATGCCAAAAACAGAATTGTAGATCTTTAAGAATTTAAAGATATTTGAATAAGTTTGTTTATTTAGGCAGAGAGACATAGTATACAGAGTATAGAAGTAGAAGTCAGTATACACTTGAATTCAAATGCTGCTTCAGACATTTACAATCTATGTGACCCCAGGCAAGTCACTTAGAATCTAGGGCCTCAGTTTCCTTATCTGTAAAATGGGGATAATAATAACTGTAGGTTTATTATGGGCCAAGAATGAACTTTAGTAGCTTAGAAGTGCACTAAGACTTTTGGGACACCCTGTACCTAAAGCACATTGCCAAATTTAAAGTTACTATACAGTATAAATATCAGCTATCATCATCAGGTTGACCAAAGGGTGATGTTTTTGTCCACAGCCACTCTCCAAGACTTTCTGCTAAGTTATAGAGGAGTTGGTTCTTCTAGGTCTGTATCCCAAAGAGATCACAAAAAGGGGAAAAGGATTCACATGTACAAAAATTTTTATAGCAGCTCTTTTTGTGGTGGCAAAGAACTGGAAATTGAGGGGATGCCCATCAGTTGAGGAATGGCCAAACAAGTTGTGATATATGAATGTAATGGAATACTATGGTGCTATAAGAAATGATGAGTAGGCAGACTTCAGAAAAACCTGGACTTACATGAACTGATGCAGAGTGAAATGAGCAGAGCCAGGAGAACGTTGTACACAAGTAACAGCCACATTATGGGACTACTAACTTTGATAGACTTGACTCTTCGAAGTGATGCAAGAATCTAAGACAACTCCAAAAAATTCATGATGGAAATTTCTATCCACACCCTGAGAAAGAAATATGGAATCTGAATGCAGATGGAAGCACACTATTTGCTCTCCTTTCCCTTTGGTGCTTTGTTTTATTGCTTCATTCTTGTGGTTCCTCCCATTAGTTCTAATTGTTCTTTACATCATGACTAATGGGAAAATATGCTTAACATGAATGTATATGTAGAGCCTATATTAGATTGCATGCCATGCCGTGGGGGGGGAAGGGGCGGCGGTTAGAAGTGGGAGGGGGAGAAAATTTGAAACTCAAAATCTTTTGGAAGTGAATGCTGAAAACTAAAAATACATAAATCAATTTAGATGACTTGGTTGCAACCCTTGTTGGTGGAGGGAACATCCACATAGATGAAACTCCATATCTTTGAAATATTGAAGTCTTCTTTGTTGCACATCCTGGTAACATGGAGAGAGGCAGAAGGGGAAGTTGTTTGCTGCAAATACACTGACTCGAGAGCCAGAAGCCTGGGGGTTGAATCTGGGCTTAGCTCTTGGTATTAACCAAGAATCACAACTCCAAAAGACTTTAGTAATAACATATTTATTACAAGAGAAAGCAGCATGCATGCTGGGTCCCCTCTTGTACAGAGTACAAAGGAGGCCCCTTCACACTGGCTACCTCGGGCAAATTATTCAACTTTGTGTACCTTAGTTTCCTCATCTGTAAAATGAAAGGGTCAGACCAGATGATCTTAAAGGTTCTTCTTCCAGATCTAAATCTACGATCCTGTAAAACACCAGACTGAGTTATTCACTCTCACTCTCTAAAATAATATTTCATAGAATGATAGGGATGGAGAAGAACTTAAACATTCAATGGACTCCAAACTTTTTTTTTTTGCTTTTCTTTTTTTTTGCTTTTCGGTGATGAAATCAGGATTAAATGACT